TTCTCAATGACTACAGTAACGAATCTTGTGTCACTAGCATGATGAACAGGCTTAATATAACTGGATACCTCTATACCAACGAAGAGTTTACATCAGATTATGTTTATTCTACAAAACCGTTCATGGACTCGCAGCAATTCCAACAGAAACCAACCTGACCCTAAAATACAGACCATCTAGACACTACATCACTATGGCATACACTTTATCTTACCTCCTATTCATTTCTAGGAATATGGGAGACCGTGTATATTCCATATTGGGTTAGTAGGCGGGGCTTATTTCAATATTTTTAAAAACAACACGGTGTTGGGGGGAAATCTTAAAGGTTTCAACAGACCAAGAAATTGATGATGAGCGATTGAAATAAATTCATAAAACACATTTAAAACTAACAAATTGTTATTGTTGGCGTTTGTTTTTGTATAGACCAATGGACGTAGGTTCTTAATACTAACGGTATTGAAGACTGGCCACTTCGCTCTCACCCCATATGGAATTTACTGACCCCATATATACATGAATCTTATTAGGTTACTAGCACACTATGTAACGAATTTATCTTACCGACTATCTTAACATGTGGTATTTAGACTAGTGGCCAGTCTTCAATACCGTTAGTATTAAGAACCTGCTTCGCTCTCACCCCATATGGAATTTACTGACCCCAGTTATATCGTATTAGGTCACTAGCACACTATGTAACTAATAATCTTCAGCCCAAGACATGACTATTTCAAATTCTCATTCTTCCCAAGAACAGTAATAGCCTGGAATAAATTACCGGACTCGACAGTGAGACACTGATTGCGTAGATGACAGAATGTTCTATCCTGTACCAACTGTACAGCAAGGACCGATTTTTAATGTTTGATCTTTTATTGTAAATAAAGTTTACCAGCACCTATGTACACACAAAGTATTGAGTACTCATTAATGAGTTAAACTACTATATCAAAGAAGAAAAAAGGCAAGGCAATATTCCTTTAGCAAAAAATACTCTCTCTTCAGTTCATGGTAAGCGAGTGGTTTATTTTTTTAACAGCAAAGATTTTCAAAATATTTAAAAGCACACACGAACCTTTAATGAAAAAAATTCGCGGAACCCAGTGTCTCTTCTACTCTTGCTGTTAGTCGCAGGCTCAACAAAAATGGGGAAAAATTATTAAAAATTTTCCTCTAGATACTATCTTTTGATTGTAAGAAGCTTCTGTCCAAGTTTGGTAAAAATCCTTTAACTGCAGACTGTATGTAATGTTAACTGGAAGAAAAACTAAGTCCATTTATAAGTAAAATACGGATAAACAGGATTTTTTTTAATTAAATTTACTTCTGGATATCTTATGATCATAAACAAGCTTCCGTCCAAGTTTGGTAAAAATCCAGGATAGTTTAAGAAAGTTATTAAAATTTCAAAAACTTTAACCACATGCAGAGTGAATATTTGTGGATGCCGCCGCCGACGACGACGACGGAATGTAGGATCGCTATGTCTCGCTTTTGCGACAAAAGTCGCAGGCTCGACAAAAAGGTTGCACTAGTATAACGTTTATTGACATTACGACAGACCTAATTGATAAATCTACACACCCATTCAACACCATGCAGTCATGCCTTTCTTTCTAGAATAAATTATTGTCATTAATTTCAAATTAACATCTAATTATTCAAATGATTTATATATACATTAAATGTCAAAACAGTAGATTCTTAAACATGGAACATTCTCCATTTCAAACTACATGAGAGCCTCCTCATGGGGTTTTTGATTATGTGATTACTTGGCCGTTTTTATAGTGATTATTTGATTACCAGACCAAATATTTTATGATTATTTGATTATTTGATAATCTAGGACTGTATTTTTATGATTATTTGATTATCTTGTTTAAAAAAATAATTAATGATTATGTGATTATATTGGCAAAACATTTGTGATTATGTGATTACTTGAACACCCCCATGAGGGGCCTCACATGATAATAATTTGATTCACGTCCTCAATAGAATCAGAGACATACAATACATATAAATGTCTCAATTGTTATAGCTAGTTGGCCTTGTACACGACCTTGAAGGAGCGTTCGCCCTGATAATCAATAATGGCATACACTTTCATTCTAAGACCTGCGCCGTATGGCATGCTTAAGTGATGATTTCTGGGATTCCTACCCCTTAGGTAAAGCGAACTTACATAGGCGACTTTAATTAAATCAGCTATACTGTTGTAAATTGTTTGGCACGTTAGCAAGCCTATGTACTCCAAAGTTTACACAATTTGGACAGTCAATTTTTTTCAACATTATCTGAACTACTGCAGTCAGTAGAGGTTTAAAAAAAACATAGGATTTTCTCAATACAACACAAGTATAAAGGATCAAACATCATTTATTTCTGTAAATATAGATATGACACTAAGCATTGAAAATATATTGAAAGTATTTAAAATAGATACATTAACTTTTAATTTGATAATACCATATACTAGTAGTTCGTTTCCAGCTAAACTTGATATACCATGGAAAAGAGTGCCACTGGATAGAAAAGGTTTTGCATTAAGAAATTGGGGGGAACATTTCAATGCTCAGTGGGTATAATAAAAATTCAAAGCATCACCAAACAAGAAGTGATTGCCAAGCAGATACTTAAATCGCTTACCGGATAAAACTCATCATAATAAAGTTCTGATCAAAATATCAAATAATACCTTATACAAATTCTGTGTAATATGTAACTAAAGCTATGGACAGACGAACGGACAAGGTGATTGCTGCAATCAATCTACTCCGTCGGTGGGCTATAATAATAATATTTGATATATACCTCACTATTGCAAGAAACATATGCATCATATACTTGGATTTCATTAGTTCTGGTGATTTGACGCAGATTATATTTTTATGTCATATTTACCATTGGTCTAGCGATGTTATTATATCAGTTGACTGATCAGTTTAGACGTAATAAAAAGTACCACACACGGATTCTGCATCTCCCTGTACACAGGTAGAGGGAATAAAATATACAGTGTCTACAATTAATGTATATTATGTCCCAGGTCCAGCTTATCTATATAATAGGCCTCAATGTAAGTTTTGTCAGGAATTTATATTCAATTAAGTTTCCCATGAAGTGAACATATAAAATATAGTAGACAATCATAGAAAATGACGAAAGTCTTGGCACATACAACACCAGGACCTTTCTATCATATTTGGTTTAGAATGAGATGATTTTTCTTTATTTCTACTGGCTCCGATGTAACCATCTAATGTCTCAGTTTATAGACAACACAAAGTCCAGTGACAGCAATAGCTCACACTGGCCTTTTGATTTTGATCTGTTGAGCTAAAATTTGAAAAAATGACCACATTCGTGTAGTTTTCATCGTTGTTCTCCATCATTGATGTGTCAGTTTGATTTAATGTAAATTTTTTGGTATTGCACTTCATATCTGAATACACTGAAGACAATACAGTTAAATATTTTGTCTCCTGTAAATCAATAGAGTTTTCTAACGAGCTGTTGGTTTCAGCGGAAAACTTGCTCATACCATAGGCTATGTCTTTCTTATTGCTCATACCATAAGCTTGGTCTTTGTTTTGCTCATACCATAAGCTTTGTCTTTTTTATTGCTCATACCATAAGCTTTGTCTTTTTTATTGCTCATAACATGGGTTTATCTTTTATTACTGCTTCCTACCATTGACTTAAATGTCTTTCATATTGCCTATAATGTAGATTATCTTTTCCTATTGTCAAATATTGGTTTTTCTTTCCTTAATGCTCATACCATAAACAGTGTCTTCTTCTGTTGCTCATACAATGGATTTTCTTTTTCTTATTGCTCATAACAGAAGCTTTGTCTTTCTAATTGCTCATACCATGAACTTTGTCTAATTCTATTGCTCATAACATGGGATTCTCTTTTCTTATTACTCATACTGTGGGCTTATTTCTGTTCTGTTGTTCATACAATGGGCTATGTCTCCCTTATTGCCCATACCATAAGCTTTGGGTTTCTTATTGCTAATACAAAGAGCTTTGTCTTTCATACTGTGCATACCATGAGCTAAGTCCTTTCTTATTGCTCATACTAAGAGTTTTGTTTCTTTCTTATAACTCATAACATGGGCTTTTCTTTTCTTGTTGCTCATACTATAAACTTTTTCCTTTTTATTGCTCATAAATTGTGCTTAGTCTTTCTTATTGCTGATACCATGGATTCTGTCTATCCTCTTACTCATCAAGGGCTTTGTCATATTTATTGCTCATTCCATGGGTTTTGTATTTCTTATAGCTCATACCATGGGCTTTGTATTTCTTATTGCTCATACCATGGACTTTGTATTTCTTATTGCTCATACCTTCTTATTGCTCATACAATAGGCTTTGACTCCCTTATTCATATATGATGGGCTTAGCGTTTGCTAATTACTCATATCACAGGTTTTCTCTTATCTTATTGCTCATGACATGGGATTTGCCTTTTCTTGTTTATGACCAGAAACTATTTGAAACTAGATCAATTAAATTACCTTCTTGACCAAGCAAACACCTTGCTATTTCCGAAAGGTGATCAACTAATTACTTCTCTTGAGGTCCAACAAAGGAGAATTCCACTAGTAAAGTATGTTTCCCCATCCAATTAGAAGAAGAATAGAGAAATGCACAATTCTCATATTAACCAATCAGACGAGCTGAAATCATGTAGATAACAATAAACTAGGATGATGACAAAAAGGGACTATTGCAGGACTGGTAGCATCAATCATGCACATGTAAATGCAGTTTACCACAGAAAAGAAGCATGAAAATCATCATATCAATCTTTATAATCCATTTTCAATATTTGGAATTCTTTTAATGGACTTTTAATATATTACTCTTAAAAGTAATGTAGTTTTAAAGTGATAGATTAACAAGTAAACAAGGACATACAGACGAGAAATAAAATTGATATTAATGAGCCAACACTGTGTGAATCAAAAAGGCATATCTAGATACAATAAAATTTATTCCAGTTATCTCCCTTAGGACAATAATATGAAAGACTTGGACAGAAAAGTGGAAATTATATCAGTATAAAAGAAAATAGTTTAGAAAATGATAAAAACTCCATAAATATTTTGCATATTAATTTCAGTATTGAATAGAGAAGTAAAGTTACAATGTATAAAATTATTTCAACAGAAGCAAGGAAAAAAGAATATCAAAATGCTTTCTAAAATTTTAACATTATAGCAGGCTTTTTATTATCTTCTCTGATACCCTCTAATTTTTTTTTAAAATAATTCATGTTATTTATATACATACACGCCTTGTCAAGTAGGTTCTACAAAGTTAAGTTTTCCTACTTCAAAAAATTCTTGTATATCAACAGCAAACTCCAGTGTTTCTTGTCTGCTCATGGTTTCTGAGGATAACATTCATTATTTGCAACCTTTTTCTGGTCATCTAAGATCATAAATGTGTTTACTTTAAGTAAATCTGATGTTTGGCCATCTAATTACATAATGTGTTTACTTTAAGAAACCCTGATGTTTGGCCATGTAATTGCATACTGTATTTACTTTGAGCAAGGAATTGTATATTTAAAATATACAATTCCTTGCTTTGAGAAACCCTGATGTCTGGCCATGTAATTGTATAATGTGTTTACTTTTAAGAAACCCCGATTATTGGCCATTTAATTGCATAGTGTGTTTACTTTGTGAAAACCTTTGACAGTGTATAAGATTTTATGGACTTCAGTAAAAGTGGGAGAAAGATATTTTGTTGGTTGTTTTAAACTATCAAGGAAATGTTCTGTAATGACCTAATGTATTCTCATGTTTTAATGACAAGTTATAATTGAGAAGAACTTAAAATTTCCCTTCACATGCTATGCTACACATCAAGAAGTCCAGTCATTTATAATAGTCATAATTAATCCGTTTAATCAAGTACTATATTGAATAATTAACTTTGACATTATTCAGTATTTTGCCAATGGAGAAATGAACAATAATGTTAAACATATGTTAGACATGTACATGTTTATTATTACACAAATAAATTGTATCCCCAAATAATTCACCATTTTGTTGGATATATACATTCGCCCTTCATATACAAACTTGTAAGGATGAAATTATATGGTGTCAACAGAAATCTTAATTTTCTTTAAAATTATCAAAAACTACCTCAAATGTGCAAATCCAATCTTTGAATAAAAAAAAACCCAGCATACTGTGATGGGTAGTTTAATGAAAGTTATTATGGATCTAATTTGCGAAAAAAACCCACAAAAACTTGTGTAACTTGTAAACTGAAGGACATACTTCCGTTGTAAATTGTACAAATTTCCTTAAAATATGAGCAAAGGCAAAACAAAAGGGGAAACACTGCTTTTCCAAAGAGATCTGAAAAGTGTTTATCATATACATGGTAATTTATTTTTAAATTGTGTCCTTAATTATTTGATCAAATGTATTTACATTGTAATTTGTATGAAAATAAAATAAAATATCTCTTAATTTCTGGCCACTTCTATGTAGGCTGAATATTTCTTAGTAAAATTCAATATGAATAACCAATTGTAGGGTAAATGTCTTTGAGACAGTAACCCAAAAACACAGTCATCTCCCCTCCCCCCCCCCCCCCCCCCCCCAAAAAAAAAGTGTAGACATATTCAAAAATTTTCAAAGTTAACAGTTTATGTAAAATTGTGTATACAAATTATTGCCAAGCAGATAAAAAAGCACTACAACAGATGACAAATGGCATACAGTTGCTGATGTGCATCTTGATCATTTCTATAGCTAACTGGAAAGAAATAGTATTTTTAACTAAACAGGTTGAGTTCCTAAAAAAATAAAAGACCTACATCGATGTAATTAGGTGAGGAGATGCATCTTTGAGAAACTTCACATTGTGCAATATGATGAAAGCCACACAATCCATATTTCAAGTTTTAAGTTAACAGATTTGATTAAGTTTTAAACTTCTTTTCCATGTTTACCAATGAATTAAGTAATTTGGCCAAATATCTATCTCAGATTCTAAGTAACCCTAATATATATACATGGTGCAAGCAAATAGAAGCAGAGATCTGATAGAAGGTAGTAATGACCTACATTTATGATAACCGTTTTAATTATATAAGGTTTTTCATGTCAATTTGAGGACAAGAAGGGCATGCTATAGAGGAGAGATCTATTGTTTTTTCCTTGAAATTTTGAGATAGTCGATGTTGATATTTAAAGTATTCTAAGAAAATACATCTTTTTCTCTTTGATTTTCAAACATTTGAGGCAAATACACAAAATTTAATGTTTCAAGTGTTATTTTTCGAAAAAAATAAAACCTTCAAATAGAAAGTGATATTTTTACCCGTTTTTGGAGAAAGTGTTCCTTAGTTATATGGGCCTTTTAACTATATGTACCAAAATGGAGGTTGAATGCGATAGATTTTTGTGAAATCATATAATTATTGGTAAAAGGAAGCTGTAGACAATTTACTTGCCACTAAAATGCATACATATAAGGAAAAACTGCTCTTGATTTTTTCCTTGTAATTTTGATATAACGTTCTTGAAGCAGTAAACAATCTATTGCCAAAGAAAACTTTGGGGGTCCATTTGCTGATATTTTTGTTAAGCATACATGCTTTTTTTAAAACCCTCATCATTATGACAAAAACCAAAACTACAATATTGTTGGTCATTGGATTCAGATTTTGATGTCAGATATTACTATAGACTAAATACACCACTTTTAGCAAATTAGAAAGCACTTGGAATCATCACCAGTTTTCAATGTTTGACATCTTGCACTAATTTTAATGATATTATGTATGTTTAAGAATTATTTTTGGTTTAAAGCATGACATATGTTTATTTAAGTATTTGATGCAAGTAATATGTAGACATCAATAATGTACTGTTACTAAAAGTTTTACCAGTCAAGTAGGCATTTGACATATAAACCAAAAAATCCTGATCATTGTGAACCAACTTTCACTGTCGTACTATCAAAGTACAACATAATAAAGGGAATTTCTACTTGCAAAAATCATAATCAAACATCATAGACAATGTCTCGTATTATAGATATATCATCTATGCTTCTAAATTCTAATACAGAAACTCTAACAAAAATACATAAAAAGCACCATTTCTGTTGCAATTGAAAATTTCTACAAGCTAGAAGCTCTAAGGAGCCTGTGTCGCTCACCTAGGTCTATATGCATCTTCAACAATGGACTCTCTCCAACATTGTAGACTAGAATAGAATTCATTACAAAAATCTCTTTTTTGTTGATCTTGTATTACTGACCATTTTTGCTGTTAACAGTTTTTCTCTATCTTCTTTAGTTTTTGCCCATACCACAAAAGTGGGTAAAAAATTGTCATTTAAAATCAATCACTCCAATATAGAGTCTACTTTTTTTGGCAAAATTTGACTTGCTTGTGGATCTTGTCTTGTTGATAATTTTTGTTATTTAAAGTTTTTATCTATCTTTTAGTTTTCAAGATAACATGCAAAAACGCCAAAAATTGGTAAATATCGTCATTAAAGAGCAAGAACTCCAATAACGAGTCCACTAACGATTTCAACCATGTTGACTTATTTGTAGATCTTGTCTTGCTGCTCATTTTTGCTATTAAAAGTGTCCATCTATCTATTGTAGTTTTCAAGAAAATAGGCAAAAACTCAAAAAATTGGTAAAAGTTGACATTAAAGAGCAAGAGCTCCAATAATGAGTAGACTGACAATTTCAGTTGACTTATTTGCAGATCTTAGTGTCTCTCTATCTATCATAGTTTTAAAGATAATAGGCAAAAATCACTAAAAAAGGTCATTAAAGAGCAATAACTCCATTAACAATTCAGCCATGTTGACTTGTTTGTAGATCGTGTCTTGCTGATCATTTTTAATTTTCAATTTTCTTTTTATCTATTGTAGTTTTTATAATATAAAGCAAAAACGCCAAAAATTGGTAAAATTTGCCATTAAAGGGCAATAACTATAATGAGGAGTTGTCTGACGATTTAGGCCATGTTGACTTATTTGTAGATCTTGTCTTGCTGATCATTTTAACTATTAAAGTGTCTCTCTATCTATCAAGATACTAGGCAAAAATGAAAAAAAAAGAAAGATAAAATTCGTCATTAAAGGGCATTAACTTTCATAAGATGTCGTCAGACAGTTTTGACTGAAACAGACAATAGATAGAGTTTAATATTTTGAACATTTTGAAAATTTTTGAAAATTTTTGCCCTTGTCAGATTTTCTCTATTTATGGCGGTTTTCAAAATAATAGACAAAACTTGCATTTTACCCTTATGTTCTATTTTTAGCCATGTGGGCCATCAGACACATTTTTAACTAGATACCCAATGATGATTATGGCCAAGTTTGGTTAAATTTGGCCAAGTAGTTTCAGAACATTTTAACAGACAATGACGATGATGGCGGATGCAAAGTGATGAGAAAAGCTCATTTGGTCCTTTTAGCCAGGTGAGCTAAAAAGTGACAAAATTATCACAGAGACAGAGATTTCTTCAACTGACAATTTCATATGCATTTTGAATATTCATCATGACAATACAATTAAATATCTATCGACTTATGGTCCGGGTACACAGTTATCGTCCTTTGATTTTCGTTGTCCACGAATATAGTCCCTAGTGTGGACAGTGTGTTACTTGTCGATTTTTTTTATACCCCTTCCAAATTTATTTCTCCATGTTTTATGACTCAAATAGTAAGTAGGGGGGTGAAATGACACTGTAAAAAAATTTGGGTCATGAATTTTAAAGTAAAGTAGTGATTTGGTCCAGCTGAAAAATGTTAAAAATTAGCACTTCGGAAGCTGTCAAAAGATTTGAAGACCCCCTTAACATGAAATTGTCCATATTTTGAGTTAGAGCCGATGAAGTTTTCTATAATTTTGATATAATTTGTCCCAAAAGTAGTACAACACACTGTAAAAATATTATTGAGAAAGCGCAGGTGGGATTTTTTTAATTTTCATTTATTGTCTAAAAGAAATGCACTACGAAATAACTGTGTACTCGGACCTAAGAGGTGAAATCAGGAAATATAGAATCTGTACTTTGGCAACTTCCCTGAATGATTTAATGGTGTCAATTTATCAAATAGCATAAAACTAAAGGATTTAAACTTTTATTTGATAGAATTTCTGCAAAAATGACCAATTTTGGCATTTTATGGTCAAAATAAGCATTTCATAGCTTTTTCAATTTTGATGCATAAGTGGCATTCTGACTTTCTATCTGACAGGTTTTTATGTGTCAATATTTGTGTTTCTATGCTTCAATCCAGTTGTATTACTCATTTGTGAACTCTGAATCTACAGAAAAGAAGATTATCTTGGACAATTTGTGCAAAATGTGTTGTATATATGATCCTCGTCTAACGCCCTGTTTGGATCAAGTTAAATGTGAGGAGCTTGGAACATAAAAGTTGAAGTCCATTATAAAGACCTCACTAAATTTGTATAAAAAGCACTTAACAATGTCTTTTGTACCTGTTTTATGTCACATAATATCTTTCTTTTCTTCTGTAGGATAGCAAGTGGTTCAAATATAAGCCTGTTGAGACTAAAATTGCATGCATGTTTTTCACTAAAAAGTGAAAAATCTTTGTATCAGACCATACTGTCTGCAAAAAAAGTTGAATGCAAGAGTCTTTTTGTGCTCAGATTTATTGTATCATGTCACCTGAGCATAGAAATGATAGAAAAGACACAAAATTTTATTTCCTATAGCTTCAATATGCATTTTTAAATGTAAATATGTGATACGGCCTAAATTGACCCTAAATTATTTTCAGTCTTACTTGGCCTAAGACCCTTTTAAACTAATGTGATATGTTATTTGTAAGTTTTCTTTCCATTTAAAGTACATTAAATACATATGTAAGGATTAATTATAACCAAAAAGCTTTACAAATTTAAAATTGCTGGAAAATATTACATCTTCATGTAAGGCCCCCCTTCATTGGAAAACCTCCATTTTTAGCCACAGGCTCATATAAATTTGACTTTTTAATAATTATGATAAGTCTGATGAATCAAATGAGTACTCTATTGCTTTTAATACATAATACATAATATATTAAGGCATTTCAAAAGTATTCTTTTGCAATATTTTAATTTTTTAAGCCCCAAATGTTGGTAGTTGAAAATTTTCAATTTTAACGTCTAAATTTAACACGCAAAGTTGAATATAGAATTAGTCATATTGTCTATAATATATATCCTATTGCCATGAAACTTTGTAAGCAGTCTTATAATTTATTAAGCTTTGATCATACCAAGTTTCATTAAGATTGGTCAACTTTTTCTACCCTATTAGGTCCGGGTACACAGTTATCGTCCTTTGATTTTCGTTGTCCACGAATATAGTCCCTAGTGTGGACAGTGTGTTACTTGTCGATTTTTTTTATACCCCTTCCAAATTTATTTCTCCATGTTTTATGACTCAAATAGTAAGTAGGGGGGTGAAATGACACTGTAAAAAAATTTGGGTCATGAATTTTAAAGTAAAGTAGTGATTTGGTCCAGCTGAAAAATGTTAAAAATTAGCACTTCGGAAGCTGTCAAAAGATTTGAAGACCCCCTTAACATGAAATTGTCCATATTTTGAGTTAGAGCCGATGAAGTTTTCTATAATTTTGATATAATTTGTCCCAAAAGTAGTACAACACACTGTAAAAATATTATTGAGAAAGCGCAGGTGGGATTTTTTTAATTTTCATTTATTGTCTAAAAGAAATGCACTACGAAATAACTGTGTACTCGGACCTTATACATCCTATACATATATATATCAGGACATGTCGTATCTTTCAAAGTGTTTCTTTACACTGACTTCCTGTGCAGGTGACTGGGATATTGACACATTTCTTTTTTTATTTTTCGATTTACTTCCTTTTCTTTTCAATATAGTTTTCAAGTTCTTAAATGGATTTGACTCTGAAGTTGGTGTCTGAGGTGATTTCTGTGGTGGCGGAGACAAAGACTCAGTTTTTGCAGGCGATATGTATTCCATAGCAGACATAGAATGAGGTCTTTCTTTTGCAAAGGAATGATCTTTATTTGTATCCCTTTGTGAAAGAATCGGCATGGAGCCAACAGAAGTCATGTGATGTCCACTATTGTCAGTATAACTTTGGAATGGTACATCATTAAATTTCGGACTATCTTCACCACTTCCACTTAAATCATTTTCATATAATGATTGATTATCCTGTTCAGAAATGGAATTATCTCCCTTCGATTCTATTCCTTCTGGGATTTCTGGGAAAAAGTCAGAACATTCTGGATAACCAGCAATACTGCGACATTTTTTGTCACGATTCTGATTAAATTCTTTTTTGTGTAATCCAGATAAATTTTCATGACTACTGAACATACGATTTCTAAGTTTTTTCATATTAGATTCTGGTTCTGTTAAATCCAATGCACTTTTATGATGCCATAATCTGTCTTTCATACTTTCAAACCTCCCTTTTTGTGGAGTCTTAGAGCTTTTGTCTTTTCCCTTATTTTCCTTTAAACTTTCACTACTACAACTATCAAAAGAGCCCATGACAGTGCCATTTTTTCCCTTGCGTGCATAGGCTTCTCGGACAGCTTGCACTAAACGTTCATTTGTTTGAGTCAATAAGTTAATCTGTTCTTGTTGAGATTTAATAATATCATCTTTCTGTTTCATAACTGTTTTCACATTTTTTTGTTCCTTTTTCAACTGTCCTTCTAAGAAAAGTAAATGTGCGAGCACTTCCCCTAACCGACGATCAGCAAAGATTCTTTCATTTTTTAATGTCTCCTGATTTCGCTTCAGCTGCATCTGTAATGACGAATTTAATGAATTGCTCTTGGCCTGCTGTAAAACCAGACTAGACTGCAACTTCTGAACCATCATCTTAGCATCTGTCAATTGCTGACGTAGTGAATCAGCTTCTTCCTGCAACTGAAAGAATAACAAAACACTGTTGAAAGTTTTTAATATAAATTTCACAAAATTTAAGAAACTTGTAAAGAAAACTTTTTTCAAATCCATGTTATATGAAAGAGAAACAGGATTTTCTGTATTTAACAGGATATGTTTTTCTAATGTTCAAGATTTAAAAAATTACAGTATCATAATAAAACTTTTATCTATATATATATATATATATTTTTCGACTCAAATTTAGCCCAACAATGTTAGATCTTCAAATATGCTTTGGCAAATATTTGTTCTTGAAAGGCATTACATCGACCACCGAAAGCTATATTTTTATGTAGCCTAGGTGGTCGAGTGGTCTAGGGTGCTGGACATGGTGCAGGTGGTGTTGCCACTATGTCACAGAAGCAAGGGTCCGAATTCCGCTGAGTGAAGAATAAAAATTTGCTAACGCAAATTTGAAGATCTAACATTGTTGGGCTAAATTTGAGTTGAAATATATATATATATGTATTATGGTATTAGCCCTTTATAAACACGTGTTATTCGATGGAGAATGTCTGTCATAAAGTTGTCACATGTTTAGATGAACAATTCTAAGTATATGTATTGAATTGCTATGAATTTATTTTCATACTGCATCAACATTTCCCAAAATTATTATTGCTACAAAGAAAAAGCAAAATATTTGCATCTGTTCTATTCAAATGATGAAAACTGAACAGTTCTGTGTGTGTAGGTAAACATATGTCTTCATCTTTTAAGACAAATTACATACCCTTCCAATAACTTCATAACTTTCCATCACCAAAGTACTTTTATACATTTCAGCATGATGTCTATACATTTTCTTCTTTTTCAAATGTATAAAAACATCAAAAAATCCAAACAGACACATTTATATCAAATATCTCCAGTGTAAGCTGTTTTTGAACCACATTAAAAGACTAGGTTTAATAATCAGTTTTGCTTTGCTGAATAAAAATCATTTTCCAATACAAGTATTCTTTTCACTCTTTTCAATTTGAAACCAAGAACTTCAGTTTCAACAATCAACTTTGTAAATATGCTACACAAATAATTAAAGCCTAAAAACCCTGACTTGTAATGTACTTTCACAATAAAACTAACAAAATATCCTATGTTAAATTTAAATTAAGTTTTAATCCAAATTTGAAATAAACATGGCCGTTGATTCTATGATATGAAACAGCAACAAGTAACTTTCTTAATATCAAAACATCCATTTTCTATTTTTTCTATACTGAATATCTGTCATCTGATTAAACACGAAGAAGAGAATTCTTTTCAATCATGTATATAAAAAGTATCACAAATATATGTTTGACATTAATTCACAATAGTTGATCAGTAACATTTCCCATCGATTTTTGAACATATGTACAAATTGTTTGATTTGGGTAGCAAAAAATTTATCTTAGGAAACAGCTGTTTGAAGTTCAATTAACAATCAATAATTATACACTATCCATTCGATTTTCTGCCTGACAAGAAATTTAAAAAAATAATATTTATCGCTTTGACAAATTTATTCTAACTGAAGGCAACAAGTTTTATAATAAAGGTATTTATATGTATGACACATATATGTCATTAACTGTCTTTAAAACAGTCTTATATCTCTACAATACACAATTAAGATTTTGTTCAGGATGCAGGAACTCTTTTCTTTAAAATATCCTTTAAGTTGTCTAATCCTATAATTTTGACCGACCGGTCATTCTTCATTCTAATTTAATCGATAAGGTGGTATTCAATGTCCTGTCATACTTACGTACTACCTGTTGGCAACATCTTCAAGTTTGCTCCAGTGGTTTCAAAGGAGAAGGTTTTAAGTTTACAAAGAATGATGGATGCAAAGTGATGACAAAATGTCACTCTGGCCCCTTTTTTACAAGGAAAAACTGTGACAGCTTAGTATTACATTTGAAGAGGGTGGGTGTAACCTAAGGTTATTCATATGATGAGTATTTCACCCTAAATAGCAACCTAGTGGTGTGACATAGCCTGTGCCTGTCACTCAACAGATATAGTATATATATCAAATGTCAAAAATTGCTACCATTTACCTAAATAAATCTTTTAAACCCCACAATGCAACCAGCAGCATGAAATAGCATGTACCACTCAACTGATTCATATATTCGTCAAATGATAAGAATGGGTACTTATTTCAACAAAATAAATACTGTCAACCTTCTGAAATTCTGAAAAATTGGTCCTTTACAGCAATTTCTTAGTAATTTTTGTCTAATTCTCTATTTTTAATAACAAGACTGAAAATCCTTGCTTTTTTAAAAAGGGGAATAGAAACAACCCTTTTCTGTAGTACTTGGCTTTAAATTTCCCCCTTTTGGAATAATTTCCCTAGTAACTGTAATATCAATACCAAAAAAAAACCCAACAACAATTACTATTCTAAATCACATTTATCACCCTTTTTTTCAACCCAAAGACATGATGAACACTGACCAAAAAAATATTAAACAACAGCTTACCAAACAAATAATGCAAAACTAAGTCTCACCATTATTTCCGTATGAAATCAATTTAATACATTTCCTTTTAAAAATGTGAACTACTAGACCGTAGAGTTACAAAGCAAATAATAAATTTGTCTTTCCAATGTCATTTTTAATTACTATTCAAGCAAATAAAAACATTACAAAAATCCTTGTTTTATGATTTTTTTCATGTATAAGAGAAGAAGTCTACTTGCCATATCCATGTTGCACCATGTCATTTTGATTTAAAATGGAGTCATGCACTCTACTGTTTGTCCTTTCAGGTGTAAAAAGTAACGTAACCTTACCTAATTAGCATAAATTTGCATAACAGGTAAAAAATAACTGTTCATCATGTCTTTTAGAGTTGACTCATAGCCCAGAAAAAGCTACTGTTCAAAATTAAGTAATGAGATACATCTACTTTAAACAATTGATATTTTATTTTGCATATAATAATTAAACTTCATGACAAAAATTTAAACTTTTCAAAATATCCTGAAGAATAGAATATTCAATACAGAAAGTTTTTAAAAACAAAATTCCAATCCTTTGTCTTCCCCAATGAAAATTAATCAAGTATACTTTGTTTTATCATAATCTTATTTTAATGGGTTAAAAGGCCTAAGAGAGCATTTTTAGGGCCAATGCTTTGGAAGGCATTTCAATAAAAATATAAAAATAAGATATAGTATGATTGCCGATGAGCCAACTATCCATACAGACTAAAAGACAAAGATGTGAATAATCACAGGTCACCATACAATGTTACAATCAAACATATGTTATAAACTAAGATTCTTTAACAATATCATGAACATGTCACTATATATTGTCTTAAACTCTTACATGGGAGAAGTCATAGACACCTTATTCAAAATTATAGGTTTGCATCTTTTATTTGACAGTTATCAATTGCTGTTTACAACTTTCCATATAAGGTACTGTCTGCTGCTAATTCAATTTTGTTTACATAACAAATGACTAAACCTTGGCCTCCTACATGAAAATAAACAATTTAACAAATACTTACCTTTTCTGTTGGTAGTATTTTAATGAGTCATGCAGAAAATGCAAGAATAATTGCTTAATATTTTAATAATATTCAAATTATCTTTCAATTACATGCTTCTTGCTGAATTTGACAGAGGCGCTGTCAACATTTAGAAAATATTACTTCTATGAATATATCACTATAGTAATTCAAAACATGGGTTCAAAATAAGGACAATGACAATTTTTTTTAGCCAATCCTAACCACAAATACTGATATATTATGAAAATGATATTAAATTCAGGTAACAACCTTGGTTTCTAGTTTATCAAAAAATGTTGACCAGTGGTCAAAATTATCACTTCTGATTTAGTACAGCATTACATGATTTGGATGTACTTGATAGTACCCACTTACCACCAATAATACCTACTTATCACACATCTTACTAAGTAGAACACACTTAGTTACTCCCATGTTTAATGAAATAAATCCCTTTCATTCTTTTAATGGTGGTGTACAATTGCTAGAATTAAAAAATACACCTCAAGTCAGCACAACCAGTAATTCTCATTAGTCTGTTGTGAATGTTAAATCTTATGCTCACTGTATGTACCTATATACATATCTTTAATTTTTAAATTGGGTATTTTCTTTTTAAAAAAAAAGTCGACACAATTTCTTTTGTTCTAGCATCTATTTTTTAAAATATACTAAGAAACTGATTTAACAGCATGATATAATTTCTAAATTTAACATTTTTTTTCCTATGACACCCAGTTGCATGCGTTACATGGATAACTTTTGTGAACTTTATACCAAAATACAACACAAAGAAATCTACCATGATAACCTTCAAGGTAAACAAAAGAGAGTTTCAACTTCCAATAACATGAAGTATATGTTACATTATGAATAGTTAGTCTAAAAGTACATTGATTCAAAGGCTTAAGGACTGTACAAAAACAACAATGCAATGTCATAGTAGAGGTTGAAATTTGGTATGCCACTATTTGAAAATCCATCTAATTATACCAAAGAATTATAATAAACTTGTAGTGCAAATAAAAAGCTGAACTCAAAATTTGTTCAGGTGCATGGTTAATCATCTTTGATTATTCATTAGCAGTTAAATGAAAGGTAAATGGTCTGAATGACGTGATTATACTGCTGAAAAACACTTATTTCCTCTGTAATTGTCTACTGTCATGGAGTATTATTAAAGCTGAGTACATTTATTTATTGTTATGATACTTCATTCAAAAGATAAGTTCTGAAATAATAAAAGGAATTGTATGGATGTTATTGTGTTAATAACTGTGTCTCAACTCGATCAAACTTCAGTTTATTCTAACAATCATGACCCCATTGCAAGTCTTTATATATAATTAAATATCTTTAGCATAAAGTACATATAGATCTGTTTCAATAGTTCAACAGTTTATAAATATAAGACAGATAAAGAGGCATGAGAATTTTCAACTATTACTGTCAATTCATTTATT